GAAGTACAATACTTATTGGATCTAAAACATCCCACCGTTCTGGTTTGTGTTGAAACTGGTAATACTCCATTGAAATTATTACCATCTTATTTGCCCTCATATCATCGATATTTTACAGCTGGTACAAATGCGCACGGAGGTGTTTTAATATTAGTACACATGTCTGTACCATCAAAATTAGTCCATACAGAACCCAATATTTTAGATGTTGAAGTCTCATTAGGATGTTGTCGCTTAAATGTAATAGGTGTATACAGCCCACGGTCGTCACCGCTTCCAATCAAAAGCCTCCGAAACATCGTCACTACCAATACAGCGAGACAAACATTACTAATCGGGGATCTCAATGCCTATTCTACATCTTGGGGCTGCAGTACAACCGACAGGCGAGGTAGAATATTTGAAAATTTTTTTTTGTAATGAATTTAATTTTAATATTGGAATAACCAGTGAACCGACATCCAAACGTTCAATGAATAGTGTTGATCTCGTCTGTTGTACAGAAAATCCTGACGATGTTTCGATAATCCGGTTTGGCTGCAGTGATCACTGGCCAGTTTTGTATACTGGCCCATGGTCTACCGTTTCGAGTTCAAGTTTTAGAGATGTACGTTGGAGGGTGTATAATTTATTTTTGCGTTTTTTACAACCGTATTTTATGCACTTGAGTTATCGAATTTCGGCGGCAATTTATTTATCGTTATTGTCCTGTTTCCTTGGTTCTCTTGTTTGTCGTTTAACACGTTTTATCGAGGTTTCGAAGTATCGTCATTGCCAAAATGGATTCGGGATGAAATAGCCGTTTTACATAATCTGCGGAATCGATATTATCGTCGTTACACGATTGAACGGTACAATCAATATATCGTGCAGCGACAATTCGTACATTTTTGGATCAAAGAACATCGCGTGCAACAGTGGGAAGGTTTTCTGAAAACCTGTTCGACCGGTGATAGTTCTTATTTTTGGCGCTATACAGCGAGACACTTCCAGTCCTCAGCACCCCACTTCAAAGGGTTACAATCTAATAACATAATCGATACGAATCCGATCTCTGTCGTCGAACAATTGTATCAGCACTACAGAGAACATTTTCGTTTTCCATCAGAAAACCTATCGCCAGTAGCTGAAAGCGTAATTGAGGAAGAATACGGAAGAGCCAGAACACTGTATGAAAATAGTCCCAATCCATCACCACTGACAACCACCTATACAGAGGTAGCTAAGATATTGAAAAGAATTCGACCAAAACGTGCATTGGATGTTTCGGGAACCAGTAATTTTCTTCTTCGTCAGCTACCACTGGATTTTGTCGGTATTCTTGTAGTTTGTTTCAATCGGTTGTTAGGAACAAATTCAGTAACGGAACACGACAAAATAGCACGGATGATATTTCACTCAAAAGCCGGTTCTTACCCCACCATCAGTGAGCTACGTCCAATATCGATTTTAAATGCTATTGGAAAGCTCTATGAAAAAATTATGTACACGTACTTACAAAAATGGATGATAGAGAAAAAAGTCATTCCCACTTCTCAATCCGGATTCCAACCTGGGGTCCGGTTACAAACACGAGTGCTCAGTCTCTATGAAGCAGCACGAGCTTCTATTGCATCGAACAGACCCGGATTGATTTTATTTGTCGATTTTGCTAGTGCGTTTGATAAGGTTTGGCATAAGGCTTTGCTGGTCAAACTCTCAAGATACGATATTCCAGGACAATATTGGTTGTGGATCAGAAACTGGTTGAGCGAAAGGTCAGCATACATTTCATTCTGTGGTTTACAATCCGATTTGTTCGATATTGAGTGGGGCCTTCCACAAGGTTCGGTTTTATCACCATTAATTTATTTACCATATGTTGCTGATTTGAATGACATTAAGGAACCAGCAAGGAAAAACAACTGGTTTGCTGATGATTGGAGTCTGTTCATTGAAGTTCCATTCGGTATTCCATTCGGTGAAGCATGCCCACTACTACAGAGACTAGGTCAACAAGCGTTGGATAACATCAGAGAGTATTGCGATTATTGGTTAATTGAACTGAGTGTCAAAAAGACTGTTGGCCTTATAGTTCATTCACAAGTACAAGTAGCAACGATAACACTGAAATACAATAGCCACACAATTTCTATGGAAACTAAGGTCACTAATTTGGGATACGGACTAACATCAAAATTGGGTTTGGGTGCATTTTTGAATTCGGTGTGTCAGAAAATTGCAGCTTCATTTCGAATTGTTTCAGCTCAATTCGCGCGTGTTGGTTCAGTATCGATTAATTTGCGTCGCAGATGTTTTTTTGCGTTTGTTTATCCTTGGTTTGTGTGGCTAATGCCGATTTTTTTCTATCTTACGAACCGACAGCAAGAACGAATTTCGAGTCTTTATGCATTTTATTTACGGAGAGTTTACGGTTGTTCCTATCTCGATACGGTTTTATTTTTTTCAATGTCCGGTGAACGAACGTTTCTCGACAGAGTTTATTTGTACTGGCAGAAGTATTTCTCAACAGTTTCTTCGCAGCCAGATACTACTGATTTATTTGAAATGTGGCATTCGAACTATCGAGCCAGAACATCGAATTCAGTTAAGATAGGAAATAATAATCAAATGAGACTACTAGTGGATCGATATGAGCACACTTTCTTCACATCAACAAATTTTTTAATCACCTACAGAGGTTCCTTTGACTATTTTCTTCGATTTTTTCGATTTTTGAAACCTAACATTAGTCTACTCCTCTCGTATCCTGAAGCCTTTATATTTTAACACGAACAATAACAATACATTTCACCAGACATCGTTCTCTTTTCCATGAATGTTTTTGTACTATTAACAATGAATCTGGTCTCGGTCAGCATTGATACCGAGTGTAATTTCACTTTTAGTTCTTTCTTTTTGCTAATAAACAACAACAACAGATCAGAACTAAAGAAGAAGAAGAAGAAAAATCAAAGACACATTGTTCTTCTTTCTCTCTCTCTCTCTCTTCTTTCTCTTCAGTTACTTCGTCTTCTTCACCGAAGAAACATCGTTCGACACAATCCCAACGATGTTCGCCATGGATGACATTCGGTCACAGATGATTTGCAGGTAGGATTGTTCGATCGAGAGAAGAGTCGTTGGAAGTTTCGACTAAAGAATGACAGCGATCTGACCTCGATATCAGACATCGTTCGCCGTGTCCGAGATTCAGTTCCATAACATCCGATGTTCAGTTGCACCTCGGTGTTGTCCGTTTCTAGTTCGACAGAGATAATTCATGGATCTCGACAGGAAGTGACCGATCCCCTGGCGATCTTACTCGAAGGGACTTTGATCTAGCATGAACAAATGGATGGCAAGGTAATTCCATCGCATAATCGTGCCCAGACACGCATACGTCTTCTCGATGTCTCATTCGTGCTGTGTATCGATTCGATACCCCGCCGTACCGAACTCTGTCCTAGATGACGGACAGCACATATTTTTATTGCATGTTGAATGTATGCGCGATTGATAAGAATCGCTTCGTTCAGTGGGTCGACCTTGCCTTGATGAATCGTCGTTCATCACCGCCCGAGACTTGCACACCGTATTGAAAGATAAACGTCCGTCTCCTCATATCACTGATACTGACGTCATTGTTTGCTTTTCTTTCTCGTGGACTGATAGTGACTTTCAAAAGATCAATGGCATCTTCACCAAAGCGTCGATTATGTTCGGTAAGCGAGTCCTGCCTGCAACCAGCAGCATCCAGTTGTGAGGGTTGTACAGTGACAGTGCGACATTCTGAGAATATGAAATTCTCAATCTTTCGGAAGCCAGAGTTTACTGACAGTGTGAAATTCTCTCATAGTGACATTCTGAAATAGTGAAATTCTAGATGTTTTAGTGTCTGAACTACAGAGACAGTGTCCAATTCTGACATCCTATAAATCTTTCAGCATCCAGAGTACAGTGACCGCGAGACATTCTGACATTCTGAGAATATGAAATTCTAAATCTTTGAGCACAGAGAGTATATGGACAGTATGAAATTCTTAAATAGTAACTGTTTTGGGATTGAGAGTATAGCGACAGTGTGAAAGTCTGGCATTCTAGAATTCGAATTCGCTCAGCATTCATAGTTTAGTGATAGTGTGAAATTCTGCCATTGTGACATTCTGAAATACAGAAATTCTACATGTTTTTTACTGTCTCTAGTACTGAGACAGTGTGAAATAGTGACAATCTGAAATTCTAAAGGTTTTGGAATTCTGGGTAGTGTGGCGGTGTGAAATTCGGACATTCTGAATTCCTGAAATTCTTGCTGTTTTAGTGTCTTGAGTACTGGCCCAGTGTGAAATTGTGACATGTTTTAGTAGCTGGAGGGTAGAGACACTGTCAAATTGTGACATTCTGAGGGTCTGAAATTCCGAAACTACAAATGTTTCAGCATCCAGAATACAGTGACAGCGCGACATGCGGAAATTCTGAAATTTTGAATGTGTTAGCGTTCAGAGTACAGTGACTGTGTGGCATTTTGACATTCTGAAATTCTACATGTTCTGGAATTGACAGTATAGTGACAGTGTGAAATTCTGGCATTCTAAGATTCTTGAATGCTGGAATTATAAATGTTTCAGCATCCAGAGTACAGTGACAGTGTGACATTCTGCAATCCAGAAATTCTGAATGTTTTAGCATTCAGAGTATATTGACAGTGTGAAATTCTGCCATAGTGACATTCTGAAATAGTGAAATTTTAGACGTTTTAGTATCTAGAGTACAGAGTGTCAAGTTGTGACATCCCGAGGCTGTGAAATTCCGAAACTATAAATGTTTCAGCATTCAGAGTACAGTGACAGTGCGACATTCTGCGAAGATGAAATTATAAATCTTTCAGCATCCGGAGTATATGGACAGTGTGAAAGTCTGACATTCTGGCATTCTAGAATTCGAATTCGCTCAGCATTCACAGTTTAGTGATAGTGTGAAATTCTGCCATTGTGACATTCTGAAATACAGAAATTCTACATGTTTTTTACTGTCTCTAGTACTGAGAAAGTGTGAAATAGTGACAATCTGAAATTCTAAATGTTTTAGGTTCCAGAGTACTGCGACAGTGCGACGTTCTGACATCCTGAGATATGAAATTCTAAATCTTTCAGCATCCAGAGTTTACTGACAGTGTGAAATTCTGCCATTGTGACATTCTGAATTCCTTAATATGTTAGCATTTAGAGTACAGGGACTGTGTGATATTTTGAAATCCTGAAATTTTTACTGTTGTGGAATTCCGGGTATAGTGCCAGTGTAATATTCTGAGATCCTGGAATGCTGAAATGCTAAATGTTTTAGTGGTTTGGAACTCATAGTACAGTGACAGTGTGACATTCTGAAATCCAGAAATTCTGAAGTTTTTAATGTGTTAGCATTCAGAATATATTGACAGTGTGAAATTCTTAAATGCTTAATGTGTTTTGATTGAGAGTATAGTGACAGTGCGAAAGTCTGACAGTCTAAAATTCTAAATCTCTCAGCATCCAGAGTTTAGTGATAGTGTGGAATTCTGCCATCGTGACATTCTGAAATACTGAAGTTCTAGATGTTTTAGTATCTGGAGTACAGAGACAGTGTGAAATTGTGACATTCTGGGTTTCTGAAAGTCGGAAATGATATATGTTTTAGTGGTTTAGAACTCCGAGTACAGTGTCAGTGTGACGTTGTGAGATTCTGCAATCCAGAAATTGTGAAATTTTGAATGTGTTAGCATTCAGAGTATATTAACAGTGTGAAATTCTGGCATTCTGAAATTTTAAATGTTTTGGGTTCAGAGTATAGTGATAGTGTGACATTTTTAAAATTTTAAATGATAAATGTTTTACCTTCCAGAGTACAGTGACAGTGTGGCATTGTGGCATTCTGCAATTGAGAAATTCTGACATGTTTTCTGTTTCTGAAATTCTTTAGAGTATTTAAGGTTGAGAATGTCCGATTTTGATATAAAAAATGTTTTTTTCGGATATAAACCGTTTTACTACAAGATTTAAGAAGTACAGAAAAAGAGCTAGTTAAAAATTTTTAAGATAATACTATCTTTAGGATGTTTGCTTTTATACACACAAGAATCAAACGATTTAGAGGTCAAAACGACGTATACTCTAAATCTAGACATTGTTCATTATCGACTAGTGAGAAAGTTTTTCAGTTGGGATCTATAATCTTTAAGATAGAACTTCACTATGTTCGTTAAGTTATTCACACTCATTTTTGATCAAACTTTGCTACAGTATTCTTATAGCCGTTTCGTTTCGATAACATTGGGGTAATATAACGCAACTGTTTCGAAGATGTAGATTTTTCCACGTACAAAAGTTTCTTAGCTAAAATCGATATTTCTTACCCTCCTTCAATCCTTCAAGTCGAAACAGGATGAGATTCAGAATCATGCATAGAACTGAGACGAATGATATGTTGCACAAAACATTTTTTACGGAGTTTTATTCAAAAGATGGGTGCAAGCTTTTTTGTTCTAGCATTAGAGGCCATTGATTTCGGGATATCATTGAAAGCTTTTGGCATCACGGATATATCATCTTATTATGCGTCATTTCAAGGTGTAAATACAAAAAATTCAACATATATTACACATGAAGTTCTTCAGATATTGAAAGATGAACATTACTTGATATCAAAAAGCGAAGAGTATTCTAAATATGTCAACACAATCAATGAATCTCTAATCAAAAAGTCGAAAACAAATAGGTTGAAAAAATTAGAAAAAGAAAGTGATTTAACATGTAAGCAACACTTTTAAGTAAAAACGTTTCTGAGGGGCTGATAACCACTAAGTACAGATTTAGTTTTAAATTCACCGTTTTCTTATCTATAGTTTTTTCCTGAGGTAGAATTAAAATGAAACCAAATTGTATAATTTTTATTTTTGTTCATTGGACTTAATTTTCATGGTTAAGAGTAAGTTTTCCAAATGAAATATTCTCGGTAAACTCGTTTTTTGAGGCTTTATATGGAACCTCAGATGAATTAAGGTCTTTTCCAACATACTTTCTTCGCAAACTGTTGCAAAAACCTGACACGTAGCGTACCAAACAGATGTAAAATGAACTCATGCAGAGTTGCAAAAAAGGCGTATTGAAAAGATAAAATGTTTACATTTCGGAGGACTAAACGTCGGACTCATCAATTTATTGACCAATTAGTCTTTAACCCATTAATTTTTACTTACCATAGCTGGTCAAGACAATAATGGATCAAATTCACAAGGTTGTTCTGCCTGTGACCAAAGTCAGCCTTTAGTCATAGCACCAAATACGACTGTCAACAAGCGTACAAGAAACTCGGCTCGAAGAGCTCACGAATGTTGAAACAATAAACAATTCAAAGCTTAGAGATCAAATCCTTCGGTTTGATTTTTTGATAGTGTATTTTGTTTTTTTGAAGTTTGTGAGACCTAGTAGAATTTATATATGAGTTTTTGAGAGCAAATATCGGTCATGCATAGGATAGTACATAACCTTGTCGAAAAATAATCTGGCTATTTTATAGTCTCATTCGATAGAGCATTCGAAGTTACGCACAAGTCAAAATGGTTACACTCTAAATGTTTCCCTGATGAGAATGAGTTTTTATGCAAAGCTGCATCAGAAAAGTCAAAACTGACCTTTTTCTTACTTTATTATGTTTTTCTTTTGTTTTGTATTTTAAAATTCTGGATCACATATGAGCCGAAAAAGCAAAGAAAACTGAACAAAACGCAGTGTTTTTTCAGTTAACTATTTTAAATTGTAATAGAAGTGGTGCATTCTGTTCAAGAATGAGACATAATGAGTACAAATAGCATATAAAGCTGACCGAGACAGTTTAAAGTTGATAAGAATCGTCAAAAGTTTTTAAGTCACTTTCAGTATTTTTCATATGTTTTCTTATTAAACCATGCTTCAGAAATCCACAACTTATACGATTCGACTGACAGTCGAATCGCCTACAATCGAGTATAAAGCATATAAGAAAAATCAGCTTTAAAATTTCATTTTTATGGAAAATACTAGCAAAATTTTAAACAAATTAAATTTTTCAAACTGAAGGTCTGTTAGCCTTCTAGCTGTTTTGTCGACAATTTAAAGTAGTTAACTGAAAAAACACCACGTTTTGTTCAGTTTTCTTTGCTTTGTCGGCTCATATGTGATCCAGAATTTTAAAATACAAAACAAAAGAAAAACATAATA